GCCCCTGGCTCCTTTCTTTTACCAGTTCCGCCTATGTGAAGAAAAGTCATAGGTCCTGCTCGACCATGGTTGGCTTTGCTTGGAATCATGGAGGAAATGATTCCTCTGTGTTGACCCTCCTCTTTGTAGACTGGACACTGGTTCAAGTCCATCTGGTGGGGTCTCCTCAGCCTCCTTGATCAAGAGGACAGATGACCCACCACCATTATAGGGCATTTTGAGAGACTTCTAGTCTTTTAAATTTGTTACGTTCTAGTGCCTGCTGTCTATTCAAAGCACATTTGTGCCCTTTTTTATGCCTTCCGATTTTTCCTTTATAACCGAGGGAAATAGGACTCTGTAGCTTGAGGAATGTTCTGGAGTCTTAGGGTCACATTCCAGTCTTTTGGTGAGTGTGTGCCTCTAGACTGTGACCTTGACACCTGTTTTTCAGGATCTCCCCCAACTTTGTGCTGGAGCTGCTGGAGTTGAGTATTTCTCTTCTTCAGGTCAGTAGGGCTCTGATAAAACCCTAGCAGGGAGTTGGGCATGGTGGCGCATGCCTTTAATACCAGTGGCAGAGGCAGGTGGATCTCTGAGATTGAGGCCAGCTGGAGTTACAGGGAGACCCTGTCTCAAAAAGAAACGAAAAGAAAAAAACTAGCAGGTTAAACAATTCCTCGTAAGGGCAGACCTTGTTTAAAGCAAACAAACCCTAGAATGTTCAGTATCCCCCACTTATTTTTAAGCAGTTTCTTTTCTCTCCCCTGCCAGAAGCACAAGAAGGGGATTTTCTCCAAAATTCTGGGAGACCTTTGAGAAGTAAACCCCATAGCAGGGCTTCCTCCCGTGGCTCTCCTGGAATCTTTAGCTTTCAGGTGTACCGAGTCTCTAGCAGTTATTCCATTATAGTTTAGGCTTCTCGGCTCTGCCCTGTTCCCCGCAGAGTTTCAGCTCGTGTGTTTCTGGTTTAGTAATTTGTAAGTTTTGTACTCACCTGCGGTCTCACTTTTCCCACAAATCTAAATGTTTTGCTTCAGTTCGTTGAGCATTTTACTTGTTGGGGTGATAGCTTCTAAGCTGCTTATAGGCTGGACTGGAAACCAGAAGACCCCTATATACTTCCTTTTTTTTTTTTTTAAAGGTTTTTAATTGCTTTTTTGTTGTTGTTTTTTGGTCTTTTTGAGACAGGGTATCCCTGTAGCCCCAGCTGGCCTAGAACTCAGTATGTAAACCAGGCTGGCCTTGAACTCACAGAGATCCACCTGCCTCTTCCTCCTGCGTGCTGAGATTAAAGACATGTGCCACCATGCCCGGCTTTAATTACATTTTAAAATTTATTTATTGTGTGTGTGTATGTATGTATGTATGTATGTATGTATGTATGTATGTGGGTACACCTGTGGAGGTCAGAGAACAACTCTCTGGAGAAGTCAGCCTTCTTCCACTGTGTGGGTCCCAGAGAACAAAAAGCCTTTATCCAAGGCTCCATCTTGCTGCCACCACCACCTACTTTAAAAGAATATTTTTATTAATTTTTTTTAGAATTTCATTCATGCATATACTGTATCGTGGTCATATTTATCCCTTCTCTTCTGCCTAACTCCTCCTAGAGCTACCCACTCCCTGTATACTGCTTGTTTACTTGAATTCTTACAGTGATCACGGGTTAACTTTACAGCTATAAATTCCTATCAAGGGGCCAGCAAGATGGTTCAGCAGGTAAAAGTGCTTGACCTGCAGGCCCGATGACCTGAGCTTGATCCCTGGAACACACATAAAGAGCTAGATGGAGTGCCTGTAATGCCAGCACTCCTACCATTGAGAAGGAGGGCAGAGATAGAACCACTCAGAAGCTCACAGGCCAGCTAGCCTGAAGCCCCAAGGCAGAAATGAGAGAACCTGCCTCAAACAAAGAGGAAGGAGAGAGGCAGCTCCTGAAAGTTGTGTCATACATGTGCCTACATGCATCATATACATACTATACACACAATAATAATACTTTTTTGAAAATTCACATTCAGATATTAGTAGATTGTATAGACACAGGCTATTCTTGAAACCAGAGTAATAAGGGCTTCTCTGCTTTTTATTCAACTCTGGCACCTTGGCTAAGAGAATGGTAATGCATGCCTTTAATCCCAGCATTTGGGAGGCAGAGGCAGGTGGATCTCTCTGAGTTCAAGGCCAGCCTGGTCTACATAGGGAGTTCCAGGCCAGCCGAGGCTACAGGGCGACCCTGACTCAAAAAGAAAAAGAGAGAGAGTGGCCTCCCCCACTCCCTGTTCCTCTAGATGAAGCTGGGGAGGAGTTCCTGGATCTGCTTGACATGCTGCTGCCCCAGGCCCAGACCTTCGTGCCCCGGCTGGTGAGGATGGAGGAATTCCACCTCAGCCTGTCACAGAGTGTGGTTCTCCGTCACCACTGGATCCTCCCCTTCGTGCAGGCCCTCAAAGACCGCATGGCCTCCTTCCAAAGGTGAGCTTCCCTTCTCCCTCAGTTCCCCTCCTTTCCTGGACTTTGGTGGGCTTAGAGGGTAGGCATAGTACAGTACCCCAGCAAGCAGACCAGACCTAAGAAGATAATGTAATGCACCTCTGAGGCTGCTGTACCCATCAGTATGCTGTGGGTATCCCACGTAAGCACCTCCATTCCTCTACTGCCTGGTGTGCTGTATATGAAAATCGCATTATCTTTCTGGAAGCTCACACTCAGTATTACCCATGCATTTTTGGCCAGAGGAAAGAGCTTCCCACGTCAACTGCTTCTTCAACTCTCCAGATACCAACTGGGTATCCTACAGATAAGTTCATGACACCACTGACCCAGAGTTAGCAGATCTCACAGCTTCAGGGCTCAGTCCCACAAGACTGCTTTAGAAATCAGTTGTACCTGGTTAGGTCCTTAGGTTTGCTAAAAATTCTACCTGATTTTGTTAAGGTCAGTGCTTCCTATGACACCCCCTATCTGACCATTGGACTCAGGAAGATTATTTACTTCGTAGATTACCAATTTATTACAAAGGATTTTTTTTCTTGGAGACAGATTCTCTATAGATAAAGCTTGCCTGGAACTGACTATATAACTCAGACTGGCCTTGGATCTGCAGCAATCCTACTTTAGCTTCCTGAGTGCTGGGATTATAAGCATGAGCCATCACACCCAGCTCTACAATTTAGATGGAAGGAGAGAGAGAGAGAGAGAGAGAGGGAGAGAGAGAGAGAGAGAGAGAGATTAGATAGATTGTTGCAGTGTTGGGGATGGAACCAGGGTACCATGTATGCTATACAAACACTGTGTCACTGAGCTGTATTTCCGGCCTTCACAGAGGATCTTTTTTTTATTTTATGTGTATGTGTGTATTGCCTGCATGTATGTAAGTTCATCCATGTCATGCAATGCCCACAGAGAATAGAAGAGGCCATTGATCCCCTGGAACTGGAATTATGGACAGTTGTTAGCTGCCGTGTGGGTGCTGGGACTTGAACCCACAGACAACCAGTGTTTTTAACCACTGAGCAATCTCTCCAGCCCCTCACAAAGGATCTTTTAAAAGACAAAGGGATAGCAACTAAAGAGACACAGAGCAAGTGGACCACCCTTCTTGCACATGGATAGTCCCAGCAGAGCCTTTTCAAACCCTGTACCCTAGGATCCTTTCAGAGACTTCAGGATGTAGGTGTGATCATTATGAACTAGTTCTTCTATCCTCCATGGAGAAGTAGGGCTTGTACCTGCAGATCACTTCCTTTATCCAGGACCACACTGAACACAGCATCCCTCGCAAAAGACAGCCTGATCACTCAGCAAGTTCCAGAGGAATTAAGACTTCTGTCAAGAACCAGGATCAAATAATATAGTAAAAGATGCTCTTAGCTGGGCATGATGTCTCACACCTGTAATCCTAGCACAGGAGAAACAGAGACAGGAGGATTACCACAATTTTGAGGGCAGCCTAAACTATAGGTAACAATATTAAGTATAAAATGATTTTAAATGAATTAATAGTATTTTCAAAATGCTGTTTGGGGGGATTATTTGGAGGATTTGATTTGCTTGTTGGCTGGTTGGTTGGTTGGTTGGTTGGTTAGTTGGTTTGGTTGGTTGGTTGGTTGGTTGGTTGGTTGGAGGTTTTTTTGGTTTGTTGTTTGGTTTGGTTTGGTTTTTTGAGACAGGGTCTCCCCATAGCTCCAGCTGGCCTGCAACAAGCTATGTAGACCAGACTGGCCTCGATCTTAGAGAGATCCACTTGCCTCTGTTTCCCGAGCACTAGAATTAAAAGTACGTACCACCACGCCCAGCTCTTGGTTGTTTTTTTTTTTTTTTTTTTTTTTTTGAGAAAGAGTCTCATGCAGTCCAGACTGGTCTCAAACTTGACTTCTTGCTGTTTGCGCCTCCAGAGTGTAGGATTGGAGACAGGGATCACCATTCCCAGCCAAAAGTGCTGTGCTTCTTAAAACATGAACTATTGTTTCTGCTTGTTTTTCCCCCTTAGTCTTCCTGATATCTGGTCTTTCTTCTTCTAAATTTTAGGTTCTTCTTTACTGCCAACCGGGTAAAGATTTATACCAACCAAGAGAAAACCAGGTGGGTCCCCCTGATTCCAAGTCATCCAAAGAAGATTCTTCATTTCAAGAATTGAGGGGCACACTATTTTCTCAACCAAGTCTATGTTTCCAGGGCATATGTTCCTAAACCTGGGCTTTCATTTAGAAAAAAGAACTAAGGGGTTGGAGAGATTACTCAGTAGTTAAGAGCACTTGCAACCAAATGGTAACTAATAAATATCTGTAACTCCAGTTCCAGGGGGATCTGATGCCCTCTTCTGGCCTCTGTGGGCACCAGGCACATTGGTGGTATACTTAGATACAAGCAGGTGAAACATTCATACACATAAAATGCAAATAAATAGAATTTTTAAAAAAGAAAAAGAACTGAAGGAGCTTTGGGAGGGGTGCAGAAGTAGGAAAACCATTTTGGTATCGGGAAGCCTGTTCCTGCCTAGCCCCATCCCTTGTAAAAATTGGCTCCTGTGACCTCCCTTTCTGTCCATCACTCAGTTCCCCTTACTCATCCACTTCCGGGCAGTGTAAGGCTTAAATGAGTCAACAAGGTTTGAAAAGATGAAAGTATTAAAGCATTCAGTGAGCAAAAGAGGACATTATTACCAGGGCCTCGGGGAGCCTCCCTGTCCTGTGCACTCAGTAAACCACAACTTCTCAGCTCCTTGGAGAGCTCACTCCTTCCTTCATTCTAGAAGACTGCATAACTTTGTAAGCTAAAGGATTCCAGGAGTCAAGTGTGTCAGATACTGCTGAGCGAGAACAGGATTACTGACTTTGATTACATGGGGCTCACTGCAATTGTTGGCCACTTTGACAAGAGCATTTCTGGGGAAAGGTTAGAGGTGGAAGATAAAGCAGTACAGAGGAAGGTAGTGGACCACCTTTTAAAGATGTTTTACCAAGAATGGGACGGGGCCTTGCTGAAAATTTGGGTTCAGAGGAGGGTTTAATTACTAAGGACAACAGGTCTGAGTGCCTGTAGGAGGGAGGTGGTACCAGAAAGTAGAGCTTTGAGAAGGTGATGAGTCCAAGAGTGGGGAATGGAGGAGGTAGGAGGTGGGGTATGGATGCTGCTCTGCAAGGATTCCTAGATATGGGAAGAGGAAACGTGGGTTAGACCAGATGAAGGAAGGTTTTTAAGTCAGGAGAGGAGAGAGACTGAAAGAATTGGCTGGTGGAGTAGCAAGGGAACGCTGAGGGAGATGGGGTGAGCCCCAGCGCAGGTCCCAAGTCTTCCTGTCTGTGCCTCCTGCTCCTGCTTGGATTGTTTTTACCTTACAGGCTACATCTTACGCCCATGTTTTCTCTATTTGTGCCTCTCCCAGGACATTCATTGGGCTTGAAGTCACCTCAGGGCATGCACAGTTCCTGGACCTTGTTTCAGAGGTGGACAGAGTCATGGAGGAATTTGATCTCACTACTTTCTACCAGGTAAGGCACAAGGTTGTAGATAAGAAACAGATAATTACTGTTTCAGCCAATAGGGCTGCAGCTGCTCCATTGGCCCCCTGGAACAGAGCATCCTTAAAGAAGCTCATCAGATGCTAACTAAAGAGCCCTCCAGAAGTTCCCAGTGTGGAGTGTCCTTGGTGCCAGCTCAGAGGACACATACCACTGGGGTCTGAGGTATCACCAGCTGCAGTCCATACAAAGTCCAACACTTCAAAAATTCTTTGTGCATCTTAAATGCTTGAAATTTGTGCCATCTACTCCATAAAGTTGTAGTTTCACATGCCTTACCACATCTCCCCTGTGCCCTCCCAGGGACTCAGAGTCCAGGTCAAGTATCAGCTTTAAAAGGCCATTGGTTTTAGTTGATATATTTTCCAAAACCTTGCCAACGTATGTAATTATGACTTTGAATAGAAATAACTATTGTTTTATCAAAATCGTAGACATTTTGGGGGTTTGTTTATTTCATCTGAAAAGTATGGCCTCTGCTGTGATGTTCTAGGTCAGAAAGTAGACTCAGAGCTTGGATCCTGGTCCACCACCCCAGACCCAATGACTCCCTGTTATAAATAAAGGAAACCAGGTGTGCTGGATAGCTTTAGTGTCAACTTGACACACCTGGGTTGAGGGAGCTTCAATTGGGGAATTTCCTCTATTGGACTGGCCTGTGGCCATGTCTGAGGGGCATCTTCTTGATGAGTGATGTGGAATGGCCCAGCCCACTGTGGTGGTGCCACCCCTGGGCAGGTGGGCCTGGGTTGCATAAGAAAGCAGGCTGGATATGTAAGCTAAATAAACCCTTTCCTCCCCAAGTTGGTAGTGGTCAGAGTATTTTGTCACAGCAATAAAGAACAAACTAGGACACCAGGGCTGGAGAGATGGCTCAGCAGTTAAGAGCACTGACTGCTCTTGCAGAGGACCCAGGTTCCATTCCCAGCACACACATGGCGCCTATGAACTGTCCTTAATGCCAGTTCCAGGGGAATCCGAAGCCCTCTTCTGACCTCCACGGCATTGCACGACATGGGTGCACTCACATACAAGCAGGCAATATGCTCATACACATGAGATGAAAATATTAAAAAGTAAATAAATACAGGCGTGGTAGCACACGCCTGTAGTTCCAGCACTTGGGAGGCAGAGGCAGGCAGATCTCTGTAAGTTCAAGGCCAGCCTGACTACATAGTGAGTTCCAGGACAGCTGGGGCTACAGGGAGACCCTGTCTCAAAAAGACCAAAAAAAAAAAAAAAAAAA